TGGACGAAGAATCCAACTTTAGTAGAGGAAGATTTAAATATCAAAGTCTTATTATAATTCTATTACGATCTACATTAGATAACTAATTTCTGAAACATTATAAAAAAAAATTATAAAAAAGGTATTACATAGCATTCAACATATAGAACACTTTTATTTTAGCTTAGAAAGTAGAGAGTAAGGCCTAATAAAATTTTGAGTAATAGGTTTTTAAAAATTTAAGCATACAAATATATACACTATATGGTTGAAAAGATAACAAACTCTGATTTTTAATGGCCTCATATAATTCAACACAATCTACAACTCTAAAAAGGATTCTACAACAACATCCTAAATACAATCTTATTAAAAAACAACTTAAATACCTAAACTTCCTTTACTTGGAACAACTTTGCTTAGCTGATAATTCTATTCTTTAGATAAAAATACCTTTCACCCAAGTTGCTCACCTATCTAAAGGCAAGCAATCAAGTTGGTATATATATCTATAGAATAAAATAATATCTTATTACAACTATCATACTTTGTTACCTCAATATCAACAATCAAGTGTCATCATCTTTGTATACAATATGCATATCTCAAAAAAATTACAACTCTGGCTACATAGCTATAACAATAATGATACTATTGTTGGCAAAGTTTGTAAATATTTTTTTGATAATCTGATTTCTATTATTTACTAGAAAACTGATATCAATACTAGTTGTTATTGACTTTATTTTCTTTAATCTGTTCAATATCAACTATGTATAAATACTACTTAAATTCTAACAGAATCGGCAACTACTGTACTATTAATATTTTACCTATTATTTTTATACAATTTTTTGAAAGAATCTCTTCTAATAACCTTAACTTCTATGCTAATTATATGAATTTTATCTATTCTATAGCAGTCAAACATCCTATTCAAATTTTTATACTACCCTCAATTCCTATTAACTACTCTATCATATCTTAAATCTTTGAGCCAGAAGAATCTACTCTAAGCTTAAACAATTTTCAGTTACTAACTCTATGCAATCCCAATTTAACTTTTATATAGATAAATCTGTAATTGATATTGATACAAACCAATATACAATAGATATAGATTGGGTCTAGTTAAATTTTAATAATAACATTATATACATATTTTTAGCAATAATCTACTTGTAGCTATTCTTTTATAAAGCTGAACTTTTTTATCTTATCTGCAATTTCTACTACTCTATACAATTCAATTATTAATATTTTTACTGATTCACAATCTGTTATCTTCAAATATACTAACTTTATTAACCCTAATAAACTTTTTAAATTTAGTTTCTGGCCTCTATAGCATATATTACTTAATATTTCTAAATCACATAATCTACAAATTATTTTTCACAAAGTTTAAGCCTATGCTGATGACTATTATAATAATTAGCTGACTTACTAACAAAACAATATATATTGTCACCTCTACTAGATTTTATTTATATCAATATTTACAATCTATATCACATTATAAGTTGAAGCAACATCTAGTTGAGTCTTCTGTACGATACTTTACTAAAAATATTTGCAAATCATATATTCTGATACTATAGCCATTACAAAACTACAATACTGAATAGTCATCCTTTATTTAACAAATCAACTAGAATTTTACTTGGTTATATTTTAATTATAACCAAAAATCTATCTACAATTACACTAACTTTAAACTTAATCAACTTAAATCTTTTAAAATTAAAACTTTACTTAATAAACTACTTACTTCATATTTTTATTATACTAGATATTCTCATACTTTCAATTATCCTAACTGTTTTTCTTGCAATAGCTTAAACTCTGTTTCATACTGAAGAGTTTGTCCTAACTCTATCACTCTTTTTAATATTATTACTAATTCTATTTCTGAACTTATTTATAACTCAGTATTAGACTTATCTAGTAACCAAACTTGTAAACTTATTGATATAATTTGACATCATAATATGCAATTTAGACCTTATGAACCTTTCTTAGATATTATACTCAAAGGTTTCATTTCTATATCTCAAGTTTAAACTATCCAAAAGTTCAATATTCTATATAAACTAGCATTTCAAACTATCATTAAAATTTTACTTCAGATTAATAAACTTATTTTAAACAATTATAGAAACCATATTGTTGCAATTTTTCAAATTAAAAGAAGCAACATGAAATCACTTTGTCTTATAACCAATTTCATTTACAACAATCTAGTAATAGAATCTCAAAATGAACTTGCAAAGCTTATATTTATTTATGTTGATATAGTCTACCAGATTAATTATTTATCAATAATTTCTGTCCTTCACTAGAGCAGGCTATTTGTAAACTTAAAATTTTTAATATACTATAGATTAATTATAGCATATCTTCTAATTATATTTTATCTATCACAATCTAGATGAGTCTTTAACCACTCTAATAGATTTAGATTGCAGATAAAGTAGTTAAGCTTTTATTTTTGCATGTAGTTTTTACTTTTTATATTTTATATATTTAAAGGTTAGCAACTCACTGTAGTTACTATATTAAAAACTATTAATAAAGATATAAGCATAGTGTTCTAATCTGATAATGCATCATCTGTTTTATTGTCAGATATTTGTCACAAGAACCATTTTTATTCATGATCTAATTTACATAATCCGATTAGTTAATTTATCATAGAATATCCATCATCTGATATTATTCGTGATATAAAATTATGTATAAATTACATAATAATAAATAATAATTATTATTATTTAAATTTGTAATATTATTGCAAACAAAAAATACATTATTCAAAGAAAATATCAAATATTCCTGTACCAAGTACTTTGAAAAGAACTTCAAGTGATATGGTAAACCAAATTAGTAAAAAGACTAAATCAGAAATCAATCGTGCTAAAAATAGTTGGATTTGGAATTATTTTGAATTAAAAGAATTAGAAATCGTAAAAGATACTAGTGAAGATAGTCACAATGACAGTAATGAAGAAATTGAGAAAGTACTAATTATAGTTTGTCAATATAAAGATACACCAACCTCTCCTCCTTGTGGTACAACATATATACGAAAAGATTCTTCAACCGGCAATGCAATATCTCATTTACGTTCAAAACATGATATTAGTAAGGTTTGTATAATATCTATTTTAGGTTAGATCTATAAACCTTATTTTTTAATATAGCGAATCTATAATTAATAATATATGTTTTATTATATAGTTGAGTGTATATCAAACTTCAAATTCATTAGAGAAAAAAAAAATTCTATTGCTATTTATTCAGAGAAATGACAACTTCAACTTCGGTAATATCTTGTTGATTTGATAATTGAAGCTTGTATGCCAATTCATATTGTTTCAAATAATGCACTTAGGTATTTTTAAATGAATTGGATCCTGCTTTTTTAATACCGTGTGAAGAAACTATCAAGAATATTATTTATTCAGCATATAATTATTCATTTCTACAATTAAAAACCCAAATTATTGCAGAAGCTATTTCAGTATCTTTGACTATAGATCTCTGGATAGCTAGAAATCGTCAAGAATATCTTGATATCACTTGTTCTTATGTGGATCAATTTTTTCGATTAAAAGAATTTATGCTGGATATAGTTTATATTAAATATCCTCACACAGCTAAAAATATTTCAAATATATTTGAAGAAATTTTAAAAGATTGGAATTTGCAAAATTTAGTTTTTAATATTACAACTGACAATGGAAGCAATATAAAAAAGGCTGTAAAAAGTTTAAATAATGTAAATTGGTTAGGATGTACTGCACATATGCTTTAATTAGTTGTTGGCAAAGGAATAAAACTAGCAAAAAAATTAATTACTTGTGCCAAACGTTTTATTAATTTTTTTTTACATCCAAAACAAAGTGAACATTTAGAAGAAGTTTAAAGAAAATTTCCTGAATTAGCAGATGAATTAAAAATAGATGAGGAGTTAGAAAGTGATATTAATAAAAATATCAAAGAAAAATTAATTGTAAGTTATATACATATGATAATTTAAATTAATTTAATTTTATATCATATTTAAAATAATTTTAATTTAAAGTATCTAGGAAAAACTGCTGAATATCTTTATGCGATTGCTGATTGTCCTA